TATTTATAATATACATATATATATATATATATGTGAGTGTGTGTGTTTATATATATATATATATATATGTGTGTGTGTGTGTGTGTATGTCGTTTGTGTATATTATATATGTATGTGTATTATTAGGTTATATTTTATAATATATATATATATATATATATGTACGTTTGTTTTTGTTTATGGACATGTTTAAGGGCTTGTATATAGACTTGTGTATGGACATGTATATTTATATGTATTTGTAATATATATATATATATGTTTGTGTCTGTGTCTGTGTCTGTGTCTGTGTCTGTGTTTGTGTGTATGTGTGTGTTTGTGTGTGAATGTATGTGTATGTATATGTATTTATACATTATATTTATACATGTATATATATTGTATATGTGGGTGTGGGTGTGGGTGTGGGTGTGAGTGTATACCTATACGTATATGTATATGTTTATGTATATGTACATATGTAGAACATTTTGGAATACATTTATAGACATTGAGGAGATAGTATCTAGATGTAGTAGTTTTAAACAATACTGTCTCCATTTGGCCATATTACTCACTGTCGTTGGTATTTGTGACTCACCGTGTGTCTTCAGGTTACTATCCACCGAAATTGGACATATAGTGTTTGTAGTGGGCATATGCGTTTACTTACCAATACATTTTTTCTCAATTCTACGATCACGTATCACCTCTGCACAGAATCTGCCGACAGAGAAAAACTTGGTTTTCGATAGTAAGGTTATGAGCAGGCACCACGCGGAAGTCTGGCTGGAGAACAGTATGGTACGTTTCCGATACGTAAAAAGCACTGCCATCTCCAGTTACATTTATTGTTTCTGTATAGAGTACGTTTGTAACGCATTAATATCAATGCAGCCTCTATTAAACTCCGTCCTCTCTAGTCACATATATTGTTTTATATATAGATACGACTATGTATTCCTGCATGGATACTGATACGTATAATCCGATGGATGGGCCTATCACTCGTCTGTACTACATCAGCGTATGGTCAGTTGTAACAATACTTTTTCCAGCAATGATCTAGGTCTTGGCAGTTTGCCGCTGGTGAATTAATATATCTTATTGTTTTGGTATAGTTCTGTGTCTTGATATATATATATATATATTATTGTTTTAGCATCGTTTGTATGAAACTTGATGGATTTTCTCATCATTAGATATTGTTTTACGTGTCTTGATCCTTATCTATAACCTATATGAGATAGAAGGGCTGTATTGTCTATCAAACTGATACTGTATCGTACACCGGGGCAGAATGTGCGTATATCCCTCGCGTTCACTTCGATATCAAATGTAACTTACATTCATTGCCACGGCCCAATTAAGTGGGTCAGGCTTCTTACCTATCCGAAATTCGACAATAAACCGACAGCATTGCGCCACCCACGTCCTCTAGTCATTCGCTTCATCTGATAAAACCACGGCTTCATACTTTTCTTTCTGTGATGGTATTGTATTTCTTTACTTTCTGTGATGTTATTGTAATACTTTACCTTCTGTGATGGTATTGTAATACTTTCCTTTCTATGATGTAATTGTATTTCTTTACTTTCCGTGATGTTATTGTATTACTTTACTTTCCGTGATGGTATTGTCTACTCGGCCTCAAGACTGTCTGTCTGCGAATTGGCCTAGACCTACTTCCCATACCCTCTGCAACAGATATACATTCAGGATGTGGGCAGCTCCAACGGCACTCTAGTGAACGACATGAGATTGAAGGCCAATGAGCCGCAGGCAATCCATGACCAAGACCACCTCCAATTCGGTGAGGACTTCAGCAACGTGTGCACGTGCGTAGTGGCGAAGGTGAACATAATCGATAGCGCCACCAATCAGGTATGATGCGGATATGTAGGTGTGTATGTTTATGTGTATGTGTATAAGCTCATGTGTATGTGTATATGTTTATGTGTATGTGTGTATGTTTATGTTAATGCTATACAATAGAGTAGAAGGGGGTACAGAGAGATATAGGGGAGGAGATAGACCTATAGTACAAGGTGAGAGGAAGTGTGTGTTGTGCAGGAATAAGCATCCGGTTGTAGGTAGATGTACATGTACGCGGGCTATAAACGTGCGTATGTATACAATATATATATATATGTATATATGTATGCATGTATATGCATATATATGTCAAGAGGAACGTCCGCTAAGTATAAACTTGTACACACCTATATGTGCCGAAGTATCGATTCATGGACATGAACATGCTATTGGACCTACTTTATAGTATGATGTTTTCAACCCTACATGCCCGGCTGTATATGTGTAGATATATGAAGCCATCTTCAATAGTATACCAACCTACCATACGTACGCACTTATATGAGTATAAGTGCTCGCACACCATCATATTGATACGTACACACGGTGTCAACTTGGCAGCAAGAATGTTAATGGGCCAGTTCAGTTTGTGTGTTCTCTTGCGTCGCCGCGGCATTGTATTGCGGCGAGATAGTCCTCATAGTGTATAACCCCAACGTAACAGTTGGAATCTATTGGGCAAACAGCTTAACGCTTTGAACGACCAATACGTTTGCCTCAACGGCAACCGGGACGGGGTACACCCAGGTGTAGGCCCGGCGAGTACTATTTTACGTATGCGTGTGATGCTCGTTTGGAGATTCATTGCATAGTCTAACGACTATCAGAGACTCTTGGATATAAGCCTCTAACCCCTAGCCGTGGAATGTAGTACCAGCTCAGAATTCATGAACGAAGTGCTGTGAAACTGGACTATCAGAGACTCTTGGATATAAACCTCTATCCCCTATACGTATAAGCTAGTACCAGCTCAGAATTCATGGACGAAGTGCTGTGAAACTGGACTATCAGAGACTCTTGGATATAAACCTCTAACACATATACGTATAAGTTAGTACCAGCTCAGAATTCATGGACCAAGCGCTGTGATACTGTCGCACCACACGGGCCAAGTAATCGCACGCCTTCGTATCAGCGAAAGTTGTGTTCAATATTCTTTTTGTGTAGTCTATATATAGCGTACTCGTTTGCTCATTTGCTCATATTGCTCATTTTCTCTCTCAGAGCTTACACACTGACGAGACGCCGAATCTCGAGTCGGCAAAGGCGACAGGGCAGACATTGGACCAAATTTCCAATATATTAGGGGATTTGGAAACGGGACTTCAGAAGCCGGTCCAAAACGAAAACGGGTCACAGGAGCGCATCAACGAGCTTCTCGCCATCATCGCAACACAGAACAAACAGATGGAGGCTGGCAAGGTATGCTTTAGGGTTTAGATACAGAATGGCTTGTGTTTTGATTATTGGCTCGGTTGCCTTTGTTTGTGTGATATGCGTTAGTCGTGTTTGTATACGTGCATATGGTGTGTCTGTATGTGACTGACTATATACTAAACTATAGGCGTGTGTGATTATGTGAGTCCTGTCGTGTGGTTGTATCAGAGATTGGTATTTGAACCTATTTTCTGTTCTGCAGATGTGGAGTTGCAAATATA